ATGGTCTCTAAGATAACTTGTTAGGTAAAAGTATTTATTTATCTAAGATGCACCTACACTGAATTTATCTGAAAAATAAAAAGGCGATATTGAGAAAAAAAATTGTAAATGGAAGATTATAAGAGAGGGTTTCATGTGCCAGCAAAAGTTATTGGCATGCCATGTTTGGCACACGTGCCAGGGGTTGCCCACCCCTGCCCTAGATATTAGTTGATCAAATGATAAATTTGTTGCATTTAGAGCAGTGGTTCCCAACCTGTTTTTGGCCATGCCCCACCTAAGCATCTCTAAAATCCTTATGGCCCCCCCCCCACATATAATTCTTATTATTCAAAAAGTGAACTCTTATTCACGTGGAGGAAGCCTAAAATGCCATTAACTTGGTCTAAACAGACTTCCAGAGAACATGGCATCCATGAAAGAGAAAAATAAAAGAATGAAAAGATAGTTGAAGCACTGAGGAAGAAACTACTAAGAAGTTGTTAAAAAAAATAATATGAAGTGTTATGAAAAAATGGCAAATAAAGTTTCAAGACATAATAGAGAACTGAAATATGTCACAATGTATATACTGTATATAAGGCCCCTAGGACCATAAGAAATGCAAAAAATTCACTGTTAATAACTCATTCTCGAATTGCCCCCCTTTGGGGCGTGTGCCCCATGTTGGGAACCACTGAATGAGAGGCTTCTTGCAGTTCCATCTCTACCCTCCTGCTGGTGAAATGGCTGAGTGAGCTGCAGAGACCCAAGAGCTTTTGCAGTAGATTGGGAGGAAAACTACCTTCAAGGAAAAACATTTTCATTCATATATTAAACAACAGAGGTAGATAGAAAGATGGGGATCAGAACAGTGGCAGGGACTAACAGAACACTTTTAAAACATTCAATAATTCAGAAAATCAGCTATTTGGCAAGTATACCAGTATCCTTTAAGATTGTCTTGTTTTTATTTTTTTATTTTATTTATTTTTTTAATATATTTTATTGATTTTTTTACAGAGAGGAAGGGATAGAGATAGAGAGTCAGAAACATCGATGAGAGAGAAACATCGATCAGCTGCCTCCTGCACATCCCCCACCAGGGATGTGCCTGCAACCCAGGTACATACTCTTGACCGGAATCGAACCTGGGACCTTTCAATCCGCAGGCCGACGCTCTATCCATTGAGCCAAACCGGTTTCGGCGATTGTCTTGTTTTTAGAAAGCTGACTTTTTCTCTAGATATGATAGGTTCAGAGATAATTATTTGGGAAAGAAAAAACCCCTCATTTTATCACTTGAGAAGCATAGTAGCAGTATGGTAATGTATTTGATTTTAGTAGACTGTCCATCACTGGACCCAAAATGATGATACAGTCCCCAGTAAGACACATAATGTTTCCAGTTGTAGTTTCTGGTTGGTCCCAAAATACATAACTGATTAATGGATATTTTATAGATTTATCCAAGGTAACTAACATTTCATAATTATTCCGTTCCCTAGTAAAAAAATTTCTGTTTCTAGGAGAAAGAGTCATAAAGAAAGTCAACTTTTGTCAGATGCTGTCCTCAAAGAGTCAGCTTTCCCCAACAATCGAGCAAAAACTGAAGAGGAGGAGGCTAACACTGCAGAATCCTTTCACAGGCAAGATCCTTGTGTAAAGATTTTACCATTGGACCAAATGCAAGGTACTGAAGTATAAGAAATTACTAATGTATGTATTTTCTCATTTCTCTGTCTTTGGACCGGTATTTATTTATTTATTTTTAAATTGTTGACAGTATTACAGATGTCCTCCATTCTCCCCCCTCCATTTAGCCCCCTCCATGGACTGGTATTTTATCTTAAGCTATGATACTTTCAACTGGAAATGCTTTGGTTTGACATTTACCTATTAATATCATGTCTATAATCCTGTATAGGAAAAGGTCTCTTAATCTTTTTTTTTTTTTGAACATACCATGATTTTATTGTCATATAATCAAACAAAATATGAAGATTAGAACTGGATCACTTGACCCTTTCTCTTCTTATCTCCTCCCAACTCAAAATGCTTGCATCTCTTAATAGCCAGCATTCTCTTAGATCTGCAGTTGGGCTCAACGCATTCAAGCCTCAGCACAATCTTCTTTGTAGTTTTAGCCTTTTTACGGAAAATCGGCTTCGTCTGCCCACCGTAGCCACGTTGCTTCCTGTCATAACGCCGCTTTCCCTGTGCGTACAGAGACTCCTCCTGGCCCTTCTTGTACTGTGTTACTTTGTGGGGTTGATGCTTGCCACACTTCTTACAGAAAGTTCGGCAGGTTTTAGGAACGTTCACCATGTCTGCGAGAGCTATCAGCAGGGAAAGTAAGTCTCTTAGTCTTTTAATTGTCTTGGCGGATTAAGCTGAAATCTTTGCTGCGGAAATCATGCTGTCTGATAGCCACAGCACACGTTATGTTTACGACAAGGAGGCTGTTTCTAATACACCTTTTACATTTCTCCCCAATTAATTTATATTCTTATTAATAGTCCTTTTTGTTCCTAAATTTATTTTTATAAGTATTATTAATTCTAAAATTAATTTTTCTAAGAAAATCAAGTTGAACACTTTTTTAATAAAGGGAACCTGACTTTTATTTTAATAAATATTTATTATTATTATTGTTTAATATTTTTATTGATTTCAGAGAGGAAAGGAGAGGGAGAAAGAGATAGAAACATCAGTGATCAGAAAGAATCATCGATCGGCTGTCTTCTGCACGTCCCACACTGGGAATCGAACCTGCAACCCGGGCATGTGCCCTGACTGGGGATCGAACCATGACCTCCTGGTTCATAGGTTGATGCTCAACCACTGAGCTTCATCAGCCGGGCTATATTTATTATTTTTAAGCCTCACCCGAGGATATGTTTTTATTGATTTTAGAGAGGGGGAGGGGGGGAGAGAGAGAGAGAGAGAGAGAGAGAGAGAGAGAGAGAGAGAGAGAGAGAGAGAGAGAGAGAGAGAGAGAGAGAGAGAGAGAGAGAGAGAGAGAGAGAGAGAGAGAGAGAGAGAGAGAGAGAGAGAGAGAGAGAGAGAGAGAGAGAGAGAGAGAGAGAGAGAGAGAGAGAGAGAGAGAGAGAGAGAGAGAGAGAGAGAGAGAGAGAGAGAGAGAGAAGCATCGATGTCAGAGGGAAACATTGATTGGTTGCCCCCGTATGCACCCTGACTGGGGATTGAACCTGCAACCTTTTTGGTGTACAGGATGATGCTCCAACCAACAGAACCACCTGGCCAGGGCTGAACACTTTGGAAACCTATTAAAAATTGCTTTAAATTAGATTTGGGAAAGAAACTACAAAAATGTGGGGGAAATTGTAAAATAAATAAATAAATTTACAGGTTTTTGCTGTCAGATTGCTTTTAAGTACTCTACATTCTTTTTTCAAAGAAATAAAGATGAGAAATTGAGCCCTAGCTGGTTTGGCTCAGTGGATGGAGTGTTGGCCTTCAGACTGAAGGGTCCCAGGTTCGATTCCGATCACGGGCACATACCTCTGTTGCAGGCTCCTTCCCAGCCGAGGCCTGGTCGAGGCACATGCAGGAAGCAACCAATCAATGTATTTCTCTGACATTGATATTTCTCTCTGTCTTTCCATATCTCTTCCACTCTCCCTAAAAATCATTGGAAAAATATCTTTTGGTGAGGATTAAAAAAAAAAAGACAAGAAATTGAAAACTATATACAAGCTTATGTAGCAAAGATACCCTGTAAGTCCAAACTGTGATTCAGTACTCAAAAGGCCTTGCTTGAGCCATATTATAAGATTGATGAATTAAATGCATTTATATGTTTCCATTAAAAAATTGAAGGGATGTTTGTATTTCTCTGAATGAAAAATGTCAACTATATATATGAGTAGAATAGTCTTAACTCCTCACACTCATAAGCAATACAAGAAAAAAGATAAATTGGACTTTATAAAAATTGAAAAATTTTGTGCTTCAAAAGATACTATCAGGACAGTGAAAAGACAATTATAATTTGGGAGAAAATATATGAAAATCTTATATAAAGGACTAGCATTCATTATATATGAAGTCTTACAACTCAATAAAAAGACAACCCGATACTGTGTAAATGGGCAAAGGATTTCAGTAAACAGTTCTCTAAAGAAGTTGTACATACGGCCTATAAATATGAAAGGACGCTCAAATCTTTAGTCATCAGAGACAAGCAAATCAAAATCACGAGATACCTCTTCACACCTATAAGAATAGCTGTAATAAAAAAGATGGAAAATAGCAAGTGTTGATGAGTGCCGGGAGCCGGTCCATCCTTGCTGTTTCAAGGTACCTGGCGTATATGGCATACTGTTCTTAATATGTTTGCTCACCTTCTTGGCACTATGTGTTTTAACCAAGGTCACCTCTCCTTGTTTCCCCAGGTAGGGATTTTCCCCTGAAGTTAGGGAGGGAATAAAACCCCTTAACTAAGTGCCAGGCGGGTAATTACTACACAGAACCTAGAGACAGAAGAACTTCGCTGGACAGAACATGGCAAAAGACCCTGGACAGAAACTGAAAACAGAACCTAGAGACAGAACCTAGCCAGAGAACCTGGCCACAGAACCTGGCTACAGAACCTGGCGACCGAACCTGGCTAGAGAACCTGGACAGAACCTGTTTGGAGAACCTAGCGAGGGAACATGGCTGGAGAACCTAGCAAGAGAACATGGACACAGAACTTGGCTGGAGATTGTGGCTAGAGATCCTGGCAAGGCTGCTGATCAACTGAACGCTGTCTCCATGTCATTCCTTCTTCGCCGACTCCGTCCACACCTTTGGGGACCCCTGGACCTGCTGGGGCTGGACCCCAGCAGATGAGGATTTGGAGAAATTGAAATCCTCATCTATTGCTGGTAGGGCTGTAAAATGGTACAGCTGCTGTGAAAATAGTTTGACAGGTTTTCAGATGTTAAGTATAGAGTTGCCATGTGATTCAGCAATTCTAGTCCTAAAGGTATCCTGAAGAGAAATGAAAATATATGTCCATACAAAAACTTTAACATGAATCTTCATAGCAGCATTAGTCACAATAGCCAAAAAATGGAAATAACTTAAATTTCATCAACTGATGAATGTATAAACAAAATGTAGTGTATATCCATACAATGGAGTAGTATTCAGCCACCAAAGGAGTGAAGTATTGATAAGCGCTGTAATATGGACGAACCTTGGAAACATTATGTTAAGTGAAGAAGACATACACAAAGGGCCATATGTTGTATAATTCTATTGATCTATAGGTAAATCTATAGATACATAAAAGCCAAATCGATAGGATATAGATTAGTGGTTACTAAGGCCTGGGGGGAAGAGAGAAAGGGGAGTGACTGCTAATGGGTACAGTGTTTTTTTTCAGGAGCAATGACACTCTTTTGGAACTAGAGTGAATATGGTTGTACAACATTATGAATATACTAAAAACCACTGAATTTGACACCTTTAGAGGGTGATTTTATGATCTATAAATTTTCTGTCAGTTAAAAACTCCCCATATACCTATCCCACAGTTTCATTTAGTATAAAATTTTGTCATACTTGCTTCAGCTCTTCTGTATTTTATTACTTTCCCCCCCCTGTTATTTAAAAATTCCAGACATTTTATTCCTACACTAGAGGCCTGGTGCACAAAAATTCATGCACTCAGGGAGGTCCCTCAGCCTGTTCTGCAACCCTCTTGCAGTCCGGGAGCACTCAGGGGATGTCCAACTGATGGCTTAGGCCTGATCCCTCCAGGAAGCAGGGCCTAAGCCACAGTCTGGCCTCCCTCTGCAGGAGGTGACTGGCAGGCCTGTCGGGATGGCGCAGGTGGCCAGTGGCTGGCCCTGCCCCCCAATGTGCCACCACTGCTGGTGGCCTCCCTCTGCGGGAGTCGACCCCAGCAGGCTGATCTGGGGACAGCCAGTGGCCAGCTCCACCCCCAATCACCCCACTGCTGCTGCTGCTGCCGCCCATGGCCTCCCTTTGTGGGAAGTGACTGGGTGGGCGATCAGGGGATGGTGCCAGCCCCCATCGACCTGCTGCTGGTCACCACCGCCCCTTCCCCCATTGCCCTCCCCTCCCTCTGCCTGCTGGCATGCGCCTTGGCAGGTCTGGTGCCACCTGCTTTCCAGCCCCGTCCCCTGTTGACCAGTTGTTCCACCGTTCAGTCAATTTGCACATTATGCTTTTATTACATAGGATATTTCAGTGTGTATCTCTGAAATTATGGACACTTTCTTGGATAACCACAGTGCTATTAAAGACCACTAAAAAACTTAATTATTTTATTACCATATGGTACTGTAGTCCATATTCAATTTACTAATTATCTCAGTTGCTTGAATTTGAGTTCAAGGAAGGTTATATTATGTTATGGTCCATTTGGTGTATCTTTTATTTTTTAAAAATATATTTTATTGATTTTTTACAGAGAGGAAGGGAGAGAGATAGAGAGCTAGAAACATCGATGAGAGAGAAACATCGATCAGCTGCCTCCTGCACATCTCCCACTGGGGATGTGCCCGCAACCCAGGTACATGCCCTTGACCGGAATCGAACCCAGGACCTTTCAGTCCGCAGGCCGACGCTCTATCCGCTGAGCCAAACTGGTTTCGGCATGGTGTATCTTTTAAATCAATGCCTTGTTGAGATAGGCTATGTCAGTCCCCGTGTAGATTGCCTCAGTATTTGGATTCTGTTTTCTTACCCAGGGTGTCATTTTCCTCTCTTCCCAATATCCTCTGTAAAGCAGAAGCTGGCTTTAAAGGGTTATTAGATTCATATTGAAGTGTTTGGGGCATGTGAATAATTTTTTACCTTTCCATTTTTTTTCCCTTCCATTTTAATAGCTGTTTTTTTAAAAACTTAATTGATGGGTTCCAGAGGATCATTTAAACATGCTGTGTTCTGCCCTGACTGGTTTTCTCAGTGGTTAGAGCATTGACCTGTGGACCTAAGGGTGAAAGGTTTGATTCCAGGTCAAGGGCACATATTTTGGTTTGGGTTTGATTTGTGGCCCCAGTCATGGCATGTGTGGGAGGCAACCAATTGATCTCTCTCTCTCTCTCTCTCTTCCTCCCTCCTCCCCTCCCTACCATTCTGTCTGAAAAATAAATGGCAAAAATATCCTTGGGTGAGGATTTAAAAAAAGTGCTGTGTTCTACTTGAAGGAAAAAGTGTTCAGTTGATTAATTTTCTATCTTTAAATATTATTGGATATTTGGTTGATAAAATAACTTGATCTCTCAGTTTTTGTTTTTGTTTTCTTAAATAGATTCACCTGTTGATGTTTGTTTACGATCATGGATGAATGAGAACAAGGTAATCTTTTTTATGTTTGTTTTAACATCCGGAGTAAGTTCCTATTTCACGTATATAAGTGCTAAGTAGTACTAATAATAGAAGTCTTCTACTTGTAAATAGCAAAAATCCAAGGTACTGCTTTAAGTAACTGGGAAGTTGAAGTAGTGCTAGACTCGGGGCTGTCTATTCCTGGGCTCCTTGTGTCATATGGACTGGCTGTCCCTCTGCTCTACTTCATTCTGTGCTGGTTCCCTCTAGAATGTTGGCTCCATCAGGGTAAGGCTTTCTCATCGTTTTGTTTAGCGTATCCTGTGTGCCTGCCACATTGTTCACACATACTCAATAATTCGTTGAATGAGAGGGACACTGTCTTCCTGTGTAGGTGACTCAGGCCTGTACTCTTTACATTTGTGATAACAAAAGAAGAGCATGATGTTTCTGTGGGGTAAATTAAAAAAAAAAAAAGAGGGCTATTCTAATGAGCTCACTTGGGTCATGTATCTTCCCCTTTGTAGGTTGATGAGCCAGGGGGTGGGTTGAGATACAACGGTCTGGTTTATGAGGTGAACCTTACGTTCACTTCAGTGTGTTTGTGTATGTGTGTACGTGTGCGTCGTACATACACAGATAGAAGAATGTGACTGACAACCATACCAGGACCATATGAAGGAAAAAGATGTGGGCTCCTCAAAGGAAGGGGTGTTGAGCAGATAAGCAGTTTACACTCAACATAAACAGTGAGGTTGGATTTTAAGCCTATAGTCTCGTATTTATGAGACTTGTTTACAAGACGTAAACCAAGTACTTTTAAAACTTATAAAACGGAGATGGAATTTTTGTTTTACTTTCATAAGAATTTTTAAGATAGTTTTTATAAAATGATTACAAAAGCGCTTAAAGTAAGAGTAATTGGGTGAGGTCAGTGGGGGAAAAAGGAGACATGTAGTACTATATATAATACTTTAAACAATAAAGAATTAAAAAAAAAGGTAAGAGTAATTTCCCTCTGCCAGGGGTTGGCAAACGGTAAGTCATTGTCCAAATCCCATCTGCTGCCTGTTTGTGTAAAGTTCTGTTGGAACTCAGCCATGCTCATTTGTTTCTGTATTGTTTATGGCTACAACAGCTGAGTTGAGAAGTTGTGACAGAGACTGCTAGCAAAACCTGAAATATTTACTATATGGCCCTTTACCGAAAGTATTTGTTGACTCCTGCTCCATAAGCCTACTTCCTGGGTGTAACTACTGATCGCTTCAGTGTGAGAGCTGCTTTTTATAGGAAGTTCAGATGTGGTCAAATTGAAATTGAATCAGAAAGCAGATTTCTTTGGACATTTAGAAGCAATGGTTTCTGAGAAGAGAGAACATACCTTTTCCCTTCAATATGTAATTTATTTTCTTAGGATAGTTGAAGAATTGATTTCCTAAAAACATTAGATATCATTGATGATAAGAGGGGGACCATAAAACTTGAAAGCAGGAAAACAAGTATAGAAACATGAGATATTTAATAAAAAGAAAGTGAAAAAGTGATAGCAGGAGGAAAATAAGTGTATTTAAAAACCTGGACCAGGGGGAGCTACTATTGCATTTGACTTTTGTTTTGGCTTTGACTGTCCTGGTATCCAGGGCAGTGAAAGAAATATGTTTTGATAGATCTCATCATCTAAACTGTAAGAGCTACACCACCTTAGCAAAATAAGGAAGCTTTCCAGCATCTCTCTAGTTCAGTTGGTCCTTCTGTAAGACCCCGCGGATGGCAGAATGGATCGAGTTCTCTGTAGCATCCATGACCAAAAAGGCAGAGGTGTTTTACATATTGTTCTTCCTCATACAGGTTTTTCTCTAATTTTTATTATAAAATATTTCAACACACAGAACTTAAATTCCACAACAGTAGTCCTTGGTGCCTTAGATCTTTATGAGCATAATAATGCTGTGCTGCCCTCTACAAGTGTGCAGTTGCATTGAGAACCCATGCGTTTAATCTTAAAAATTAATGTGCATTTTGCAAGCTAATTCTTAAGGTGGTATTGCTTGATATATAATATGATTATGAAATAAAATCAACACTTAGAAGAAAATGTTACATTTTATTCTGGGCCTTAGTGTCCTTAGGGCTACTTGGTTCCTGGGTTGAGGAGCAGAGAAATCAATTTTTCCATTGTAGGTTGCTTAGCCACTTTGCTATTATTTTCACTTCTATCGCAAGCCTGTTTTGCTCAAATTCAATTGTATATTAGTATACCAACTATATTTCTAGGTCTTTCAAACATGTGCACATTTTGAAATATTAAATTTTAAGGATGTCTTATTGGATGGGTCAGGGGAAGGGAGGTGGTATCAAGGTAGGAAGAAAGTTATTATGGATATAAAACAACTAGGCCTTCATTGCCTAAATTGTGAATCATAGATACTGAGCACATTGGTGATCCTTTTTGCAGCCTTGTACTATGGTCTTCAAAGCTGTGAGTGTGCTTCTCTTACATGCACTTTATTTCTTATAGATTGTTGTTCCTGATGCCGGAAAACATTTTGAAGGGAAGAATTCAAACAATGACTTAAGCCATACTAGTTTAATAGAAAATGAAAAACTTATGTCACTGACAAGCTTGGATGACTCTTCTGGTACTGTAATGTAATTTGTGTTTTCCTAGCCTTTATGTTGACATTCTGTGTCTTTCTGCTTCTTGGTTACAGTTGTTCCTATGCCAGATTTTTGTTTCTTTGCTTTCTCCTTTCTTCCTATCTTCCAGCACTCAAATGGCTTCTTCTGTTAAATGATGGACTTTTGAAGCATTTCTGTGTACCAATCCTGATATGATTGTGCTTATCCCTGAGTTTAGTATCATAAGGGTACAAAGTAGTAACCCTAGGTTCCACTTCAGTATAAAGCAGTATACTGAAATGTTAAGAAATTGGGGGAACCGTGAAATATTTGGCCTCTGCTTTCTGAAAGACCTGCCAAATAAGAGAAGAGATGCATAGCTAAACATCCAACTGTATTATGTATATTATGTGTTCCTCAGTACAAATTGTGCAAGAATCATGGGAGGGTGACAAATTAATTCTGATTGAAGAAGCTATCTGTGAAGCTTTACTGAAAGGACAGATTTTTTCCTCCTTCTTGCAAAGGCCTGTGATAGGCCTTAACGAAGACGTGGGAAGAGAAGTACATTTCAGGAAGTGGGAATAACTTCAACAAAAGATCCTGTGGTGATGGTGGTGGGGGGGTATAGCCAGTGTTTGGGGAATAGCCAATAGTTTTGTGTGGCATATTTACAGCACTTGTAGGAATCTGAATTGGAGAGTAATCCAGAAAAGGAGGCAGGGATCAAATTATTCATGGATTTCAAGGCCAGGCTGATGGGCTGAGTGGGATAAGTAGAAACTAAATTCAGGACAAGTTTTGCTGCTAAAGTTTTTAGATATTTTTGAATGGTGGCATTATGGATAAGGAATTGTTGACCTGAATTTATATAGAACTTTCTTTGAGTATGCTAGATTCTTAGAGGTAGAATAACTAAGTCAAAGGTTATGAGTACTTTTAAGGCTCTTAATGTTGATTGCAAAATTATCCTCTTGAAAAGGCAGTGATAACTTACAGAACCATTCTTGCCCCTGCTGGGCTGGTTGTAGAAACATTAAAAAACCATTGCAAAGACAGACAAACAAAAACACTGCCCCAGTGTTTTTTTATTTGTTTATTTGCAACTTTCTGCTTTTGGTAGAGGTGGAATATTTTTAATCATGCCTATTAGGGTTCAATTTTGTTACATTATTTTCCCTTAATTCCTTCTTTCTCAAGATCAGATATTGTTTGAAGTTTCATACTTAATTATTATTCATCTAGAATTTATTTTTACTTTTAGGATGGGCTTATCCATTCTTTTTTGATAGTTACTCATTTGCCATAACATTTTCTGAATTATTTGCCCTTTTTCCAACTGATCTTTAATGCCACATTTATTATACCCTAACATATGGTTTATGCCAGGATTTATTTCTGTGCTATTCTATCAAAGAAAGTTAAATATTTAGTAATATTGGAATCCTCATAATAGTTTATAGACAGAAATGATAAGTTTTTTCATGTTGAATATTAAAATCATCATTGATTTATATGTCTTATCAACCTTTTTGGTTAAATTATAGTTCATTCACTACTTTAAAGCCTGTTCTATTTTTCCTCCATTTACTAATAGATGATGATATTGATGATGAAGAGTTTTATGATGATCATTTGGAGGCTTATTTTGAGCAACTTGCAATTCCAGGAATGATATATGAAGACCTAGAAGGACAGGAACTTCCAGAAAAAGATTTTAGGTTGCCTATAGGTGATCTCATTCTGGTATGTTCCAATTATTATGTTTTTCAGGAATTTGACATTAGAAAATTATTACTGGTCTCATTGGATACTAACATAAAACTTAAGCTTTTGGTTTTCTTGGAATTCTATTTTACCTCAATATAAACCGATGAGAAACACCGTTCCTGCTTCCTCTTTCCATCACACAGAAAATTAAAAGAATAGTACAGTATAGTCAATGTGTATATACCCCAACTTGTTTTGTAAAATGACCGAATTTCCCCCCTTCTGATTACATTAAACATTTGGCAAGAATTCAGGTTAAACATTTTTCTCATGAACAGATTAAGATTAAACATGGGTGATGTGTACGTCTCATTGCATCACTCAGGGGACATACAAGTCTGTTTGTCCCATTAGTGATGCTGTGTCTGGTTATCTAGGTTAATGTGTCAGCCAGATATCTCCTACCCATTTGTTATCAGTAAGTCCTCTGGGATGACACATCAAGGTCATGTGAACATTCTGATTCCTGAACAGCCTTTTATGAACTGGATTTAGTATCATTGCTGAGGCCTCTCAGAAAAAATTTTTACATTTTACAACTACCTTGGCATTCTTCTATGAAGAAGACATTGTCTGCTCCCCATATTTTATCCTTCAAAATGTTTGTTTTTAATTTTAAAAATTCATAAAGCTAAGATACTCTTTCAACAGGCAAATGGAAATGGTAATTTAAACTGTAAATCTCAGTCAGAAAATAACAGCTCTCTGATTTCCCATGGCTCACACTCTTCAGGAAATTCTGAAACAACCCACAGAGAGTCTGAACAAGGCCATGTTTGTCTCCCTGGGACCAGTAAGTATTGATTTCTTTCCTTTGTTTTTAAATTCTCTTTGACTTCAATTTTTTTGCAAAAAATCCCCTCATTTCTTTGGTATGATTTAATATGTATTAATCCTTATATCCCCCCAAATCTTGAAAGTCTGAAACTTTTCAAAAGAGCTTTTTTAAAAAAAAATAAATTAAAAGAGGGAGTTTATTTAGAAAGTTACAGAGGTATAGACATGAGCCAGCTGGGCTGCGTAGGCTCAGGAAACAATTTACAGAGGCAGGAGAAGAGCTCTTGGAACTTAGGAGAGAGTAAGGCATAGATAACTCACCTGGAAAGGAGAAAGGGAAAGGCGTGGGCATGCTCCCAAGAGGGATCATGCTCAAAAGAGCTTTTAATAATGCCTGAGGACACTGGTATTATTGGGGATACTGTAGGTTGTAGATTACAAATGATTGTGCTCTATTCAGATGCTTGAGAATTAGAAATGAATTCTCTGTATGGTAGCAGTTTGGCACACTTACTGTTGCCTCATACTGTTGGTTATTTTCTCTCTCATGCAAATTGCTATATTTGTTATATGAAAGCTAAGTATTAGGTTTACATAAAATAATTTGAACAGCAAAAACAGTTATTACATTAAATTACTGAAACTTTGACATTACTTCATTATTTTTCTTATATTTTAGGTAATTCTATAGATAATGGAAATAGTAGAAGGCATGTAGAAGATGTGTTACCATTTTCCTCTAACACCTTGAGAATTGAAAAAAAGAAAGGGGCAGAAAGTTCAAAGGGTATTGTTCTACATTGTGACAGAGTAAGTGTATTTGCATTTTCTTTAAATGTTCTATGGTAACAAAGTCTTTTCTGATAGCATTTTTATTAATTTATTTTTAAATAATTTTTATTTTTCAATTATGGTTGATGTACAATATAATATTAGTTTCAGGTCTACAACCTATTGCTTAGTCATTTTTATAACTTATGAGTGATCACCCCTGTAAATCTAGTACTCATCTGGCACCACATATACTTATTACAATATTATTGGCTATATTCCCTATGCTATACTTTATTATTTATTTATTTATTTAAATATATTTTTATTGATTTCAGAAAGGTAGGGAGAGGCAGAGAGAGAAACATCAATGGTGAGAGAGTCATTGATTGGCTGCCTCCTGCACACCCCACACTAGGGATCGAGCCTGCAACCCCAGCATCTTGATGCTCAACCACTGAGCCATGCCAGCTGGGCCCCTATGCTATAATTTACATCCTGTGACTGTTTTGTCACTACAAATCTATGTTCCTTAATCCCTTACCCTTTTCACCCAGCCTCCCAACCCTTCTCCACTCTGGCAACTTGTCAAAATGTTCTCTGTATCTGTGAGTCTATTTCTGTTTTGTTTGTTCATTTATTTTGTTCTTTAGATTCCACATGTAAGTGAAATCATATGGTACATATGATAATGGCAGATGTTAAAATCATTGGTTAGAGTCTATGAAGGATGCTATCTTCCATTTTTTGGAGAGCATACTTCCCTTTCTCTAGAGTGCTTTTTTTTCTCTTGAACTCACACTTACTGAATAATTGTTGTGATACAGTGTGGAGTTTCTGAATTCTAAATAAATAAATTTCACTTTGAATTTTTGATCTGTTACTTTTTAGCACCAACAGGCTTAGTAAAAGCCTGAAGTTGACCTGACAGAGGGTTGACAACTTTCCCTTACTGGCCCTTCAATCTGCTTAATAACAAGTCCTTTGCTTCTTCTGTCATTCTTCTAGGGAAGGGCCTACTGCCCTCCTTTCTGTACATTCTGGGCAAAACGACTGGTGATGGCGAGAATAGTGACAATGAAGTAGTCCACAGAGCTAGACAGACAATTTTCAGTATGAGAGTCTAGGCCCGTGGCCGGCAAACTGCGGCTCGCGAGCCACATGCGGCTCTTTGGCCCCTTGAAGGGGCTCTTCCTAAGCCTTAGGAGTACCCTAATTAAGTTAATAACAGTGTACCTACCTATATAGTTTAAGTTTAAAACATTTGGCTCTCAAAAGAAATTTCAATCGTTGTACTGTTGATATTTGTCTCTGTTGACTAATGAGTTTGCCGACCACTGGTCTAGGCGATTCCCTGGCTTCCCCACACATTTATCCAACGTAGCTCCATGAAGTGGTGCACCAGCAGCAGAGGTGCCACGACCTGTTTCTTTAGCGAGGAACTGGGTGTCGCAGGGACATCCGGTGACCTCACCGCGGGTGCCTGGGACCTGTACTTTCTCCTACTACTTTTATTTTGATATAAGGTAGAGATGAAAGTTTGTTTTTTTGTATGACAGTGTTAGAAAATCACCCAGTTAATAAACGGTGAACCTATGACTTTATTTCAAAGTCAGCATCTTTTCTGTTAAATAGAACTACTTCCTTTTAGTATTCTAACTTTAAAAACTTGGCCCAGGAGGCTGTTTTTGTCACATATCTTATAACAGAAAAGACTGCTATATAGGCTTTATTGGCACTTTATTCATAGCTGAATTTCTAAGAAGAGCATTGTAGGCACTTGAGCCCTTTTTCAGCAGTTGTTATTCTATGAAAGAAAAAGAAGTGCCATTTGGGAAAGTTTGTTGGAGAGCTTGGTCTTGAAGCAATGACTTAATTTGCTGTGTCTGATGCAATTGTCAGACTCTTAGGGACATTGGTAGTATTTGCTGTTTTACTCCTATTAAAATATATTAATGTCTGTGTTTCCAAGGTCTGTTATTCATATTACTTTTATGAGGCTGGTCACACTAATGGGCTTACCATCCTGTAGAAACTTTTAGTGGTAATGATAAAAGTTAAATTGACATTTCTAACATTCTGTAAATGTAATGAATATGTTGGACCCACTTTTGGTACCTGAATCTGTTGTTGTTTGTTTGCAATGATCACATTATGAATTAAGATTTTTGTCAATTGCTTAACATTGGGTCTTACATAATCTAGGAGAATATAGTGAATACTGTATAGTCTGTTCTCTTATATAATAAACATTTATGTCAACTACATAATTTTTGCCCATAACATTTTGGAATGAGTTATGAAAAACAAAACTTACTGTTGCTCTTTTATTGCTTTTTAAAGGAAAGCACAAGAGAAGAAGTTCTGGTGAAGACTATCAGGACTGCTAATGCAAAATTTAACCCTGTTTATTTTTATGATGATATAAAAGTCAATAGAGTTGATTTTGACCTGATGAATCCTTTAAAACTGGAAGCAGGGTCTCCTCATCAAAATAAGCAATTGGCATCAGATTCAGACACTAAGATTCCTAAAGTATTCATTCAAAAAAATATGAACATAGCATCTTTGAAGCCCATTAATAAAAATTGTATTAATTTTGATATTCTCCAGTCACCAACTAGCGAAAGAAGAGCATGTGAAAGTTATGAGTCCATTGAAAAGAATAAAGACCGTAAGTGGACTTTTTTTATAAGAATATATAAAATATTGTGTATATATTTTGAATAGAATATATTTCTAAGTGGAACTTTCCCAGTCTTTCATATTAAAATACTTATATTTTATGAATTTAAAAAATGGTATTTTAAAAATGAAGATGGTGCCTCAGAGTGAAGAAGGGTAGTGTGTTAAGGCTTTGGAGGCAGAGAAAGCAGTGCTGAAAGGCATCCACAGCCACACAAAAAAATGGAGATCCTGCCCAGCTGGTGTGGCATCCCAAATATATCCGGAAGAGTCCCCCAGGAGAAACAAGTTTGACCACTGTGCCATCATCAAGTTCCCCTGACTACCAAGTCAGCCATGATGAAGATAGAAAATAACAGTACTCTTGTGTTCATTTTGGATGTCAAGGCCAACAAGCACCAGATAAACAGGCTGTGAAGAAGTTTTGTTACACTGATATAGCCAAAGTCAACACTCTGATCAAGCCTGACGGAGAGAAGATGGCATATACATGTTCGACTGGCTTCCTACTATGGATATTGCCAAGAAAATTGGGGTAATCTTAATCTGTGTCCAGCTGTGCGTTTGGGACTTGAGGAACAATTCAGCACTGTGTTTCCCCACCTAGGCCACACCACGTGCCAATCAGTGCTGCTCCCCTCCCCGCTCCTCTGCCCTGTGTCCATGGCCAGTAGCACAGTGTGACTGGGCCTGAAGCCTGGGGCTACTGCATTCTAGGGCCATGCAGGCCTACAACCGAGGCACTGCTGTGCAGCCAGGAAAAAGTTGACAACTCACCCGGGAAGGGCAACACAAAAGACTGAAGTCAATCATAAAGAAAATTGACTTGGACTCAGATGGCTTTCCCACCCAAAGTGAACTCAGTTCATGGATTCAGTTGTCTTTTAAACATTATGCTGTGCAAGAAGCTAAACGATAGTTTGTTAACAGTGATAAAAACAGTGATGGCAGTGTGTCATGGATGAGTGCAACATTCAGATGTATGATTGTGTGATTGACTGATGAGAGAGCACAGCTCTGGCTGCTGCAGAAGAGGAGTCTTTTAGGCAGCGTCATTTAAAGGACAAGAAGGGATTTGAAATAGCTAACCAGGATGGTTTGTATCTTGAAGAATTTATTGCTTTTGAGCATCCTGAAGAAGTTGATTATCTGATGGAATTTGTCATTCAAGAGGCTTTAGAAGAACATGACAAAAAAGGTGATGGATTTGTTAGTTTGGAAGAATTTTTTTTAATTTAATTGATTTTAGAGACACGGCAGAGAGAGAGAGAGAAACATGGGTTTGTTCCACTCATTTATGCATTAATTGGTTGATTCTTGTATGTTCTCTGATCTGGATCAAACCTGCAAGCTTGGCATATCTGGATAACACTCTAACCAAATGAAGTACCCTGTCAGGGCTGGAAGAATTTTTTGGTGACTATAGGCAGAATCCAGTAAATGAAGATGCAGAGTGGATCTTGTTGAGAAAGATACTAGTAGATTCCTTATGACAAAGATACCGATAGCAGGCTTGATTCTCAAGAGCTGTTACCTTAGATAGTACCCAATAATCAGGGTACTGGTCAAGAAGAAACTTTTCATCTCATTGATGAAATGGATGTGCATAGTGACAGAAAGCTCTCTGAGGCAGAGATTCTGGAGAACCAGGACTTGTTTCTTACTAGTGAAGCCACAGAGTATGGCTGACAGTTTCTTTCTGTCGTGATGAGATTTAATCCCTGGTTATATCTCAGAGTATTGGGTCCTTTTATAAATTGTTACCAGCGTTACTTTCGTGATAAAGTATTGATGAAGTTATTTTCCACTCTGAAATCTTACCAAATGTATCTTAATGTAGATGATAATCTTGGTCTTTTAGGAAAACAAAACAAAACAGAACCCTCATACTTATTTAAAAATGTACTGAAGAAATAAAACAATATTGAGTCATCTGACTAATAAAGTCTTTCCTAAATACTCTGTATGTTTAGTACTATATTGTGGGATATTTTGAGTTCTATTTCCATACTTTAAAAAAGTAGGAGATTTTAGAGATTTCTGACCAATATTAAAGGAGTATGTAACTGAGCTATCAATTTTTGTTTAAGTACCATTAATTTGGGAATTGACCAGAGGACATTGTTTTTAGGTTTTGCATTTAGCTTTAAAACCTTTAAAGGAACCTGTAGAAAGGATATATACCTCACATAAAAGTTGAGAAGTTCTGCTTAATTTTAATATGGTTCCTATAAAGGGTTTTATTGTATGAAATAGAACTTTATATTTTTGTATATGTATAGATAGTAGTTATATTTAATGTGTAATAGCTGTATTGTGTGTGGAATTTGACATTGTCTAGAACTCTTTTTTTGAATGATTAAAAATGAAATATCCTCTCTTTAAATAAATATATAAAAATAAAGTGAGTTCAGCTAGCTTAGTGCTCA